CTGCATCTCTCTTTGGTATCTAATCTACGTACTAAATACATTCATCTAAATGAATTTAGTAGTTTTTAAGAAAAATATGTGCTATACAATGAATGAAAAATAAAAATCTGTACGTAAATTAAAAACAAACTTGATTTTGACTGGCATAATTTACACGCAAATTGAGAGATAATGCCAAATGTACTAATAGTGTGGCTATTTTGATTATGGCAAAGTACATTCATACTATATACCTAAGAGAAGGCATTCTTTCGTAGATAACTTTCTAAAAGAAGGTTAGGTTAGGTATCTGCTTATGGAGGGAGGGGGCTTTCCTGAAGGGCTTTACAAATGAAACTGACTAGGTATTTACATTACATACACTTTCTGAAGAAAGCTGGCTCCCATTTATGTTACGCATACTTTCTAAAGCAAATTGGCTCACATTCACATTACGAATACTGTCTAAAGTGAAGTGATTCTAAAGCAAATTGGCTCTTATTCACGTTACACATGGAGAAAACCCCCACAAAAACGGTCATGCAGCCTGTCCATTCACCGAAATTCAATCCGGGTTAAAACTAACAGAATTCAGCGGTTTTACTTATATGACCACTGGTTGGGCTGTGGTTATTTTGAATACCGTATAGCTGGAGTATGGAGATTCCGAGTTCAACAGCATTTTCACTAAAACTCACGTAACGCAATATGTACAAGCTGTTCTCCAAGCGACAAGCTGTTTTGTTGTTTGACTTCTGAATTAGAATATATTACTTATTATCACATTCTTTTATCTAGATCCCTTGAACATTTGTACATCTTCGTGGGTCTTGAATTCGTATAATGAAATAGTTTCTCTAATATATTACAATTATATAGTCTTACCATTCATACACAAAAATTGCACATTTTTCGCGAACATTTGCCAATTGCATAATCAGCAATTCACAGAAATAATTCATAATTTCATTTTAAGATAAAATACACTTCGTACAGGAGAATTCTAAATATGCTAACTAATGAATACTACAGGCAACCTGAATATTCAGAAAATCTGCTTAATTGGGTTGTCTTTTTACCAGTAGGCAAATAAGAGAAATTTTGTTTTTTATTTATGGTATTTTATTTCAATATTTCATCCACTAGAGCTAAAAAACGGGGGATCACACATACAGAAAGAACCTGAAAGCTAATAAGAAATACACTATATAAAAACTCCTATTTGAAGGAAGACGTAACGTCACCTATTTACTTATTCAATTTTTACAGAAGGAGCAAGTGTCTTCACTAAGTGGTTGCTTAAATGGCAAAGGAAAGCAGTGCATTACGTAACTAATTTTTTATCACTGCTTATATGCTGCATCTCTCTTTGGTATCTAATCTACGTACTAAATACATTCATCTAAATGAATTTAGTAGTTTTTAAGAAAAATATGTGCTATACAATGAATGAAAAATAAAATCTGTACGTAATTAAAAACAAACTTGATTTTGACTGGCATAATTTACACGCAAATTGAGAGATAATGCCAAATGTACTAATAGTGTGGCTATTTTGATTATGGCAAAGTACATTCATACTATATACCTAAGAGAAGGCATTCTTTCGTAGATAACTTTCTAAAAGAAGGTTAGGTTAGGTATCTGCTTATGGAGGGAGGGGGCTTTCCTGAAGGGCTTTACAAATGAAACTGACTAGGTATTTACATTACATACACTTTCTGAAGAAAGCTGGCTCCCATTTATGTTACGCATACTTTCTAAAGCAAATTGGCTCACATTCACATTACGAATACTGTCTAAAGTGAAGTGATTCTAAAGCAAATTGGCTCTTATTCACGTTACACATGGAGAAAACCCCCACAAAAACGGTCATGCAGCCTGTCCATTCACCGAAATTCAATCCGGGTTAAAACTAACAGAATTCAGCGGTTTTACTTATATGACCACTGGTTGGGCTGTGGTTATTTTGAATACCGTATAGCTGGAGTATGGAGATTCCGAGTTCAACAGCATTTTCACTAAAACTCGCGTAACGCAATATGTACAAGCTGTTCTCCAAGCGACCAAAACAGTCATGGCAAAATCTCTTGGACATTTACGATGCTAATTAAAAGTCTAACTTCAGAAATACGTAACATATTAATTAAGTTTAAATGACCAATAAACTCTCCTTAAAATCCTAAATATTTATTTTCTTTTATAGCAAAGAATAAAATGACTTTGTATTACAATATAAGCATAGCATCTAAAACAAAAATTATTTGTGTTCTATTCAAAATACAAAATGCAATCTGAGAAGAAAACACGTACGCCCTAATTTGTTTCTACGTTCAGAAAGCATTGCACTTGTGATTTAATTTCCGTTTCCTTGAGATTTGTTTCCATTCGAATGACCTTACATTTTATTCCATAGTTTTCCATATTTTCTTCTCACTAGGGACCATTTAGGCCAACCAGCGGCCGAGCGGTAAAGTCGCTGAACACTGGTAGTTCGGTCCGAACTGCATGAGCGTTTTCGTGTTTTTCCTCATGTGTAACGTGTATACGAGCCAGTTTCCCATAGAAAGTCCTCCACGAAGGCATCCCTCCCTTTAGGCAGATAGCACTCGAGGCTTTGCCATAATCACATACACACACTAGGGTACAAGTGCATAAAGACCGCTGAAAAACTGAATAATTCATTTCGATTTTCCAGTCGGGTTCTGACTGGGTTTTGTGGTTAATCTTTGGATTATGGTAACTTGGCCATTTTTGGCGAAAATTTGGCGACCAACCCTGCTACAGCAACCTACTAGTTTTTATTTGGGCGCCATTTTGTTTTCACGAAGTAAAGGCATTTCCCCCCCCCCTCAACATTTTTTCCCAACAATCTGCTAACCGAATTACGCTTATGTTAGAACTTTTATGGAACAAAAGTGCTTAATCATGACGAAGATTAGGTGCGAAATTGGGAGAAAGTACAGAATCGCAAACTGCTTGCCGCGTTTTTAAGAATTGCACATACACGGTAACCATGTACACGTCGACCTATTTTCACTTAAAAAAACATCCCAGAATTGCACAAAAATGGCATTGCGCACACTCTTGACTTTATCCATGTACACTGCTAAAGTACTAATAACAAGTAATAAGTAAATAGTAACCTTTATCGCCTTACCAAAATGTCGCCAAACTACCTGTTACCATATTCCAAAGATTAGCCGTCAATTCTTCTTAGAAAATCCTCTATGAAAGCATCTTTCCAAGGTCAGAAGATCTCATCTTCTTCATTATAATCAAATAATCAACAAAACCACATTTAGTGAGGTGTAAAATAAACAAATTTTAAAGATTAAGGGAAATTTTCCGTTATTAAAGTGCATGCGATAAACATTTTTTTCTAGACAGATATATACACTAACTTGATACTTTTAGTAAAAAAGCATACTTCCGTCATCGGGGTCATTTCGACAGCCATAAACGTTTTTAAACCTAAGGCATATCTCTTAGGTTAGTACTCGTATGTTTTCCGCTTCTCTGAGGTTAGATCGTTTTTAAAGGAAGAACGAAATAGAATGATACATTTTAAGAACTTTTACTGACAATACTTATTTTGAAAACTACACCATTTTAAGAGATAAGAGCAATACATTTAATTTAATGGTGGCCAATAGGCAAAATTAGTGTATATGTTTTTCTGAGAAAATTGTTCAGAGAGTGTCATCCTATAGCGCAGGGTTTCTTTCAGTAACTTTTTTCAGTCGCGACTCCTTTTTATCACTGAGATTTTTTCGCGACCTCCAGGACCCCATAATATTTACACAAATTTTGTGGACCCCCATAAGTATTGCGCAAGTCAGACACACGCGTGAGTGAAACTGTCAATTTTTTCACTTGTACTGTAATATACTACCGCAGCTTTAGGTCATTAACTTTAATTTCTAATTTTAAGACATAGAACAATGTGATAGTTTTAAATAAGTAACAGACGAAATGACAGCGTCACGTGCAAAGCAAGGAAAATGAATGTTTATATTATAAAAAGAATGCGTCGAAACGTTTTCGCTTTTTTCTTTGTCCCGTATTGTCTTACCTTTATCTATTTTCAGATACATTGTGTAAAAATATTATAATAGTTAAATATCAAAGCTGCTCAAATTTCCCGCGAACGGAAGCGCTACCCACAGTTTAAGAAACCCTGCTATAGCGAGAAAGATGTGATTCATATAATGTATCACAGAATTATATTCAGTAATAAAAATCAAATTTTCATTAAATTTAGATCTAAGTTCAGTTAATATTTAAGCCAAAGTGTGCATTTAAAAGAAGTAAAATTTACCCAATGTAAATACTGTTACTTAAATAATTTTCTTTAACTTTTAATTGGCATTGTAGAGTTTACTTATCAAAAAACGTAAGCATTTTTATATTTATGACCACATACACATAAAAATGACTAAAAATTAAATTATTTCAAATTAAAATAAAATAAGCTTGACGTAGCCTAACGTCAAGAATCGAGTCTCTGACGGCCGTGCTATATCAGCTGATTATTAAAAATGCATCAAATAAAACCTTTTCTTTTTCTATTTCAAAATTTAGAATGAGTTTGCAATAACCGAAACATTTGTAAAGAAACTTTACTAAACTTCATCACTCAAATTTATAACATAATAATTATAATGCTTACAACAACTTTATAGCTTACAACAACACGATGCACTTAAAGGGAAACAAATTTTCACGTTTTAAATAAAACTTTCGTGGGAAGAAAAGCATGCCTACGAATTATTAATCAAAACTAGCTACTGGTTCTATAATTTCGGTAAAAATTGCAAAATCACTTAAAAAAGAAAACAGAATTTTCAGTTGGCTAGAAAATATGCTTAAACGTGTGTTTATTATTGCATGGACTTAAATATTAATTAGCTACTCATAACATCTTAGCATCTATTATACAAAATATTTCACATACATCAAAATACATTTCGAAAACTACATAATAGGCAGGTGTATATACATTAATAATGCTGTCTTACCTATATTTGATCGCTGTTCGAACACAAATCCTTATATCACACAACTCCTTGCACTCATTTGTGATAGCAAAATTTTGATGATAATACTTTCAGTCATGAAAATTATTAGATATATCAAGTCCCAAACAGTTCAAAATACATTTTCATTGAATTATAGCTTTCAATTCCCAGGTTTTTCATTCTTTATTTTCTTTGGGGGAACAGCAAAAATTTGGCGTTTCACCTCAGAAACCACCTGAGTTATTCAAAATAACTGGCATCTGGTTTTGTCCCATGACCTAATTTTACCTCCACGTGTTACGTCAAGTGGACAGACCTCTGGCGGTAGCTAGCTAAGAAAAAAACAAAAATAAAACGAAACCTTAGATAGCTTCAACTCGTTTCAACGCTGTGTTTATAAACTTATCCCCACATTTGGCGCGTTCTGTTGAATGATAGTGAAGTTTTCTTATCTGAAGCTGCAAATTTTAATAATTTTGTAAAATACAGCGAAAACGTAATCAATACTAAACCACATTAAAACAATGATCATCAAGTAAAAACTTTGAACCGTGAAACAGAAAATAATAGATATTTGTTAATATAAAAAAAAAAAAATCTTGCCGTCCGAATAAGTAGTAGAGCAAAGCATGGTACAGCTGTATAGAGTTTGATTTGGTTTGGTTTATTTAAGAATGGACTTTGCTTTCACCCGTCAAAGCGGGAATAGATCTTTAGTATGTGAAATAAGCTAATACTACTGCTATATAATTTCACAAAAGAAATGCTAAGATGTATTGTAAGCCCAAAGTCATCTTTGAAATGCAGCTGTTGAAATGAAATGTTTTACAAATATTGGATTTCAGGTACAGTTAGTCAATAAAGTCTGCGTACATCAAGAAAAGTAATATCAAATCCAAATTTTAAGGTGCGAAAAGGGTAGTTTCTTAAAGTTTTATTTTTTAAATATTTTGTTTCAATAAGAGACTTTGAAATTATTTAATTATAATATTTTCATATCTAATAATTTATGCACACTAATTTTTAAAAGATAAGTGGCCAGAAATCAAAGCCAATAAAGTTTGCGTACAACGCAAAGGAGGCGGGGGATTTCTTATCTAACTTTTAAACTTCAAATTTGAGAATGCAAAGAAGGTTACACTTTCAAGGTCATTGACTTCCGAAGCAAATTTCAGGTTGATTGGAAGTAGCTATTTCTATTTTCTTTGACGAAAATGACAACCAATAAAGAAATTCCTTTAGTTACGAGACAACTAATTATGAAATTGAGATATGAAGGTAAAACTCTTCGTCATATTGGTAAAACCATAGGAAAACCATTTTCTAGTGTGCAAAGAGTTACTCAAAACTATCTTGACACTGGTAGTCTTGTTGTAAAACCAAGATGTGGGAGACCGAAGAAGCTAACGCAGAGAGAAGAAAGAAAAATTCTTTTACGAATTAAACAAAATCCTAAACTCTCTGCTGCAAGCATTGCAAAAGACATTTTTTTAACTAGCAACAAGGAAATTTCTCCTGAAACTGTACGAAAAATGCTGCGAAAGTCCGATTATTATGGACGCAAACCTAGCTCTAAGCCATACATTTCCGAGACAAATAGAAAGAAAAGACTTGCTTTTGCCAAAACATATTTAAACTCTTCGCAGGACTTCTGGAACAATGTAATTTGGTCAGATGACAGTAAATTTACAATATTTAAAGTTAATTGCCACCCTATTGTATGGAGCAAACCAGGAACAGAACTGAATCTGAGAAATTTAAATCCAACTGTCAAACACAGAGTTGGCGGTGTGATGGTATGGGGGTGTATGTCGTCGAAAGGAGTTGGAAATTTTCACATTTTTGATAAAGTCATGGATAAGTATGTTTATCTGGATATTCTGAAGAAAAATCTACGAGACAGTGCCCGAAATTTAAACCTTTCTGATACCTTTATTTTCCAACAAGACAACGACCCGAAACATACAGCTAAAATTGTGAAGGAATATCTCCTCTATCACACTCCAAGACAGTTGCGTACTCCTCCACAGTCACCAGACCCTCAATCCAATCGAACATTTGTGGGCAAAATTGGAGAAACGAATTCGAAAACACAATATTACGTCGCGAAATAAGCTAATTAGTTAATTGCAGGAAGAATGGGCGAAATTTACGTCGGATGACACTGAAAAACTAGTTCAGTCAATGCCCAGACGTCTGCAAGCTGTTTTGAAGAATAAAGGATATCCTACAAAGTATTGAAGTAATGTAAAAAACTTATATTTTGCCTTTTTTTTTTTTTTTTTTTTTTTTTTTTTTTGAAAGTGTACGCAGACTTATTGGAGGGAAATTTCTGAGTTTTTTTGACAAAATATACATTTTTGAAAAAAATGTAAAAAGTATTACACTGATATTATTTACTTTTTATTTAAGCTTACAATTTTAGCTAATAGAAGAAAAAAAAATGCAATGATTAAAATACATTTTTCTATGCTTTAAGTGTTTTTTTAATTTAAAATTTAGTCTATACGCAGACTTTTGTGACTAACTGTATGTTTTAAAAATAAGTTTGGCCCACCAGCGGCCGAGCGGTAAAGACGCTGAACACTGGTAGTTCGGTCTGAGGTTCGAATCCCGCGAACGGGCTGGCTGCATGGGCGTTTTCGTGGTTTTCCCCATGTGTAACGTGTATACGAGCCAGTTTCCCTTAGAAAGTCCTCCACGAAAGGCATCCCTCTCTTTAGGCAGATAGCCCTCGTGTGCTTTGCCATAATTAAATACACCAACACCAACTAAAAATAAGTTTGCCTTAGGGGAAATGAGAAAATATAGTGGCAAAGGAAAAACCACTTTTAAAGTGATGATCAAGGATCAAAGATAACGGCAAAGCACACGAGGGCTATGTGTCTAAGGGGAGGGATATCTTCTTGAAAGACTTTCTAAGGGTAAACTGAATGGTATACGCGTTACCCATGAAGAGAACTACGAAAACGACCATTTAGCCATTCGGGTTCGCCGGAATTCGAACCCCGAACGAACTACCAATGTTCATCGACTTTATCGGCAGTTGGTGGGTCTGCTACATAAAGAGAGAAATGTCTTTTGTGGAGGATTTTTTGAGCAAAACTAGCTTGTTTTTAAGACTCTAATATTTCCATACAGCTGGCCTATTCAGCAGAACCTGGAACAAAATAGTAGAGTTTCGTTATTTTAGTCATTGCTGAGAGTTACCTTTACAACAATTTTCAATTTTAAATTCAACATAATTTACCATTCATTACCTATGTATTGAAAGATACTGTAATAATCGTCGTATAAATATTTACATCATTAAATGGAAGAGACATCATCGTAATGTGCACTGTGATTTTCTTAATACTAGTTTCAGTACCCAGTAGTTCAGCAGCGGTTGAGCGATTAAGTCACTAAACATTGGGAGTTCGGCCTAGGTGCAATCCCCCTCCCCTGTGAACGAGTTAGCTGCATGGGTTTTTTTCTGATTATCCCCTTATGTGGACGCCGCACAGTAGTTGTGGTGTTTAGTAACACAAGACCACCAGAGGTGACCACTGACATTAACATTTTCAAAAAAAGATTGACATTGTAATGTCATTCTGGTAAATGCTATCCGCAATAACACCCAAGCCTTGCCTCATTTTGATGATATAGCTCATTTTGATATCAAATATCCGTAACGTAAACGTCCCACATGTATAAAAATGTTTTTAAAAAATTGTGTGTTTATCATGTCTACATATTTTATGTCTTAGATTTACTTGCATTTGCAAGGCTCCAAGTAATAACAGTGTAGAACTTTCATATTATTGTCACCTTGGTTTCTAAATTTATTATTAAATTTCTGACTCCAATTAAACATTAATCGAAAAAATTTCAAAAGTGTTCTAGCGCTTGTTACTTAATTAACAGCAAATTTCCAAACATTTAAAAATATTATAATGAAGGAGTTAGAAATAGTCTTTAATTTATGTTATGAAACGATTTATTTTCTAAAAAGTGGGTTTTATGAAGTTCTGCGTTCTATGCTACGGAGCAGATAAAAATCTAGCTGGATTAAAGAATTGCGTTAGGTTGATAAAATTGTTTACAATCTCTCGTGTTTTTGTATTCGCTGAGTCAGTATCTACAGTCTACCACAGTCGAAGAAAAGTCTTGTAAATTAAAGAAATAAAGGTTTTATAAATTTCATAAAGCAGATCAATGTATAAAACGATACCAAGTAAAGAAAAACTATAGCAGCCGGAAGAAGCAAAATACAATCTTTCTGTGGCAATCATGACCAGTCACCAATGACCTGATCAACGGGAATTTTATTGGAGACCTTTATTGTGTTAAAGTCCACTAGGTTACTTGTCTATGAGAAAAGTACCTTCATAAAGGATTTTCTGAAGGAAACTGGCCCGTATTCGTTTTCCACATAATTGAAAATTATGAAAATCTTACGTAGACGCAGTCCGTTCAACTGCCGAGAATATAACACATAGCTTTTATGGCCTTGGCCATCTAGTCACTAATCGGCCATGAAAAAGACAAAAACGGACCATGTAATGGAACTAAATTAGTCATTTTCTTAATTTTGGTGGTCTCTTCCCACTTGCCGAGCGGATAAAACCTATGGAGGATGGTAGTTCGACCTAAAATCAGCCCCGACAACCGACCTAACTGCATGGATATTTCGGTGGTTTGCCCAATGTGCAGCTTGAATACAACTCACTTTTTCTCAGAAATTCCTCTACGAAGACAGGTCTTCCTTCAGTCGGACAGCCCTATTGTGCTGTCCCATATTCTAATGAATCAAACAACTGACTTTTTCACCCGTAGTGAATAAACGAATCACCACGATTAGGCTAATTAATGGTCTTAGAAATACTTTCTGCGAAAGCTTATTCCCGGTTATTCTAGCAGTCTCACAAGTAAATATCAAAATTTTAAAGAATTCTTCAGTATCACACGTAAAGAAAAAGGAACCATCTAAAATGTATTATTAAAATTAATACATAAATAATTACATAAAATAATGTGCTGTAAATCTGCTTTTATGAGTAAAATTATAATGAAATATCGTTTTTCTTTTAATTTGCTCGCAACTATGATGTATTTTAAATGCTTTATTAACAGTTTTAGGTGCTCCCCTTAAGAAGAATATAATTTTATAATTAAAATGAGCCGGCAACGTTTTGAAGATTACTTGATTAGACATCTAACGTCACAACAAACAACGTCTAATATCAAAACTAATATCTGCATAAACATAGCGAAATTGGCGCTACTACAAATCAGCCAAGCATCGTTATCTTG